CAAAAGATTTGATGTCTTCAATAGTAACATTTATACTACAGTTATGAAATACATTCGACTTGTTTTCAATTGTACTAAGAATATTATCATTAGCACATTGGGAAGGAAGGAAGTTGTCTCACTGTGGCACCAGAATTGTTTCTTAGTTTCGTTTCATCTCGAACATTATCATCTACTTCATTTTTATCCCCACCATCCACACCCTCTAAATCACTTTCGTTTTCACTTTCTTCTAAAATTACATTATTTTTAAGCAATTCTAAATTATTCAGATAAGAAACAATTCGGGTTGCTAAGTCATCTTGTGTGCCAGAGCTATCAATGCATAAAACATTGGCAATGGAAATTAATTCATAAGCCTGAAAATCTTGTTTGATTTTTTCGAGTTTTTCATTAAGTTCTTTACTATTCTCTTCTAAAGAGAAACCACTAAATTGTCTTAACCTTTTTCGATTATTTCTGTCGCCCACATCGTTAAATATTATTTTGTGTAATAATTTTATATTATGCGCTTTTTCACTTTTCAGGACATCTTCCATTCCCGGCACATCAATTAGAAACATAGTTAATAAAATTGAGAAAATCACTCACTTCATATAATGGTAATCCACGATGTTCCAAGCTCTATAATGAAAAACAGAAACGAAACAAATTACTTCCATACCATCCAATGGATCACAAATGGTGTCGACAAAAGGCGAGTAGAAACAGGTTATGTCCGATGGATTTTTGGCCACAATTCACGTCTTGATACTTGACATCCAGTATTATTAAAATTAATTCCACAGTCTTTAATAGAGCCGCACACTATTTACTAACTATTACGCAGTTTCAGTTCAGGTAATTTAGCATAAATTCCTAGGAGTTTGATGAGGTTTTTGTTCGAAACATAGTTGATTATACATCGTAAAACAGTCCAGCACAGCAACAGTTATTCTTCAAAACCGGTAGTAATCCAGGAAAGCAGGTAAAACTACAGTTCCTTCGAGTGCTTAATTGCTATCCCACTTCTGAGAAAATTTTTGTGGGGATTTTAAACGATGAACAAATTAATTAACGAAAGACATTTTAATTAGACAAACGATTATTACATAAATTTAACATTTAAGAGAATTAAACAAGTAATGATTCGTCAAAGTTCTTTTTGAACAGAAGCAGCGTCTCTGCTTTCACGTCAATCGTCTATCATCTCAAAACGGTAATTCCCCTAATTTTTGCTTGGCGCCTTCGCAGCTCGTAGAGAGAATGACGTCACGGCATCTGGTTTTCATCACAGCTCCAAGCGATCGGCACTACATATATATATATATATATATATATATATTCCCAGTTTTGCTTTCTTTTTCTTGCTTTTCTAAATAATTTTTATTCATAATTTGTAATCAATATGAACTGAAATTCAGTTTCAGAATTTGTCTAAATTCATGGATGTGAAAGAAGTCTCATAACAAGAGGACAAAAGTGCATACTTATATATATGTATGTAAAAAAAAAAAAAAAAAAAAAAAAAAAAAAAAAAAAAAAAAAAACCGATGGCTTTGTACAGGCTAGTATGACACAGTAAATTTAAAGTTAATCCTATTTAGTTTAACTTTCTATTGCATATGTAATTTTGGAGAATCTAAAAGAATAATGATCTGCCATTTGCATTGAATAAAGATATGGGGCTATAGAATTAAATCCTTATGCTTACATTCAGCGACATCAATGTCCAGATTCTGTGCCAAGCTTCGTCATCCCTGTGCTTGACTGCCACAATATTACATGTATACACTACACATTGGAAAATGCAAAATTCATTATTAATTTATACAAAATTGTTGTTACAAGCTACTTGTATTTAATAACTTTTAGCTAATTAGCCTCTCTAAAAAAATATCATGTATCTTTTCCAGAAATTATGACTTAAAATTCAATTACTTTTGTTTTGCATTGTTTTTACATTACATAAAAATGTTTAATTTCCTTCTGTTTTGTACCTATTATTTGGCTATTTCTTCTCTTATATTTCAAAATTTTTTTTTTTAATTTTAAATTTAGAACTTGAAAATTCAGTTTTCAGTTTGATAGTAATTGGCCAGTTTTCCCTTTTCTGAGATTCCCGAATTTCACATGTCTTAATGGCTTGTGAATTTGCCATGTTATTTGGCAAGTTTCTAATTTTTTTAAGTTCGACTTTAGGTCCTGACTTTATATTGTATAATTAACATAGAGACTTGAGTCCTATTGGATCAGATATAATATCTTGATGATTAATTTCCAATAAAACATTTTACTTTTTTAATTTCTTATTATCATTTTAATATTTTTGTGTTTCGATTGAATTATTTATATTATTTTCTTTTAATTTTATGAATACGTTTTGTTAAACATACAGATATAATTCAGAAATGTAATTCTGTTGAAAATTTTTTGTCTTTTCCTTAAAAAAAGACCAGAGAGTTGACAGCTGTTATTTATTATTTAATTTTGAATTTATTTGGCTACATTGTTTTTGTTTTAATTTCAGTTTTGATCTTTATTCTAAATAGTTTTTCTATTAGACCGTTTACCACTTTAAAATAATTTAACCATATTAATTATCTCTTAATTTTATTTATGTATCACATTATATTTGTGTGTGTGTATATATGTATGGTTTAAAAAATAGGGTGATTTATATACACAATTTGAGCTTGGACAGCACGAGTACAGGTATGTATGATTGGCATTCACGGCTGTTTTGGATGGCTCTTTTTCATTACCCAAACGATGATAATATCTCTGAACTCTCTTGCAATGAGTCCTTAAACTCATGCAGGAGAATTAAGGCTCTTCTAAAAATAGAGAACTTTCTAAAAAGCTCTGCCAAAATCAAATCGTTTTCAAATCAAGAAGAGGAAGGACAGTAAGACTTTGTCTAAAGATTTAGGGAAAATTGCACGGCAGCTCGTAATTCCAGAACAAGTTATTAAAAAATTTGAAGAAATGAAAAATATTATTAACAGAAATTACCCAAACTTATTTTTATTGCACAGCAATACTATGCAGGAAGTTAGATATTTAAAGAAAATCCTAATACTGAAAATGAAGATGGCAATGAAATCAAAATTCAAATTGTAAATTTAGCTCAAAAGCTGTACAAGCAGTGAAACTAACACGCCATTTCTCAGCTTAGCATTTTATTTAAACCACAAGAAGGGAGGAAAAACAATGAAGAAGACGTAAATGAAAAAAACATTGCTGACTGGAGTTCCCCAAGTAAATCAGCAAAGTCGTATAGACAAGAAAGAGCTAATGGAAATAGCACAGCAAAATAGATTCTCACACCTCAGTGACGAAAGTGACATTAGCAGCAAAGACCGGGGTGCCGATACTGTAAAGATTATGCTGGTTGTCCTTGCTCACAATGAAACCGAATGGGCGAGCATCCGCTGTCATTTACTAAGGGCTTGTAGTCAGAAATTCAAAGTGCAAGTAAAAGAAACCTGATATTCCTCTGCGCTAAGAATATTCAAGACTACAAAAACCTGCAAGAAAGATTGAAATTAAGAAACATTCCATCCCATACATATCAACTGGGTAACAAACGGACAGTAAAAGCAGTCCTTAAAGATATGCCCAGGGCAACTTCGAAAGAAAAAAATTAAAATAGGTTTACTGAGATGTAATTCCTCGATCCTTAAAGTTAAAGAATTAACACAGAAAACTCCATAAAGCATTGAAAAACACCCCATTTATTTCTTAGAATTTGAAAGAGCTGATGCTGACCTTGCAATTTTAAAGTTAACAACATTATGCATATTAATGTGCACATAGAAGAATTTAAGACTGAGAATTGAGGGCTGACCCAATGTTTCAACTGCCAGATATTCAGTCATATGCAACATCTCTGTTTCAATAACATGATGGGTATTTTGTAGGAAAAGTCATAAGAGCTAAGAATACCCAAAAACCAAAGAAGAGCCTCCAGTCTGAATTTTTTTTCAGGCTGACATGCAAGCAATTATCATGATTATTCTGAGTATCAAAAACAACTTCCGAAGATCCCAAGAAAACGCCCAAAAATATCAAGCATCCTGATAAAAATCCCAAAGATCTTACAATGAAATAGTGTAGAGTAGTTCAGAAAACTCGGAAAATAAAAATTGGATGAACATGAAAAAATAAATATTTAACATTTCAAAAGGAAGAAAGCTGAAATGTTAACTACAATCTTCACTACAAGTCAGCAGAAAAGTTTTTAAGTTTAAACTCATCAGCAAAGAAGTAACTTCGAATAATCTACTGAATGGAATCGGAGAACTCTACCAACTGAACTCTACCAATTGAAAATATTTTTTAGACTTGTTGTTTTTAATTGTTTCTATGCATGTTTAATTATTTTAATGTCATTCAAAACAGTAAAAACATTCTAATTTTTATAGCCTTGGAAGTGGGATGAAATAAGTTAAAAAAATCCTAATTAATACATTGAGTGAATCGTATCTAATTATGGAATAAATCAGATGCTCTCAAACTTTTAAAGTTCTGCACGACATAAATAAGAATCAGAAATATATGTACACCTTGCATTAAAAAAACGTGGGGACAGTTCTATATCTCCCATTCTACTGGACCGATTCTCTAAATTTCATTTTCCATGTCTAGAAAGTGCGACTTAGGATATATATCAGATTTATTTATGGCATTGTTCTTCTAACATAGGTATTTTGACACAAAATCAGTCTTTTTCTGATATAACATACCAATAGTTGCGCTTTCGAGACATGGAAAGTGCAAGTTAAATATCGAGAATCAGTCCAGTAGAACAGTGGAGATATAGAACTGTCCCATTATTGTTTTTTTGTGCAAGGTGTACATGTATCATACTTTAAGAAACCTTCAAATTGATCACTATGGAGTGGCAGGTACTTGCAGTTTATAATAATAAATTATAAAGTTGTGTTACTATTATAATAATAAATTATAAAGTTGTGTTACTATTATAAAATTCAATTAGAATTTAAAATGCTTTTCAGGTGTTGATCAGTATGAACCTGAGCTTTATCCTAATAAAGAATTCCAGCTGAAATGGCTGAAAGATTATTTAGAAGCATGGTATGAAGTGAATGGCTGGAGCCTTGACAACATCACAGATGAAGCTGTACAATTGTTGTACATTCAAGTTAACAAATTTGCTTTGGTAAGTTAGTTTCTTAACATATTAGATAAGTGCTGACATTCTTTTCCCGGGTATAAAGTATTGAGTGAGTTTTGCAATCTTTTCATTTACATATAATTTCAATAGTTAATATCAAACTTAATTTCATAAATTTAATTTTTTTAAGCTTTGTCCAAAAGAGTAAAATCTAAAATTACATAATTGTACCATGACAGTTATATATTATCGTATCTGAAAGCATCACATAGGTGAAGAATGGATGTAATATTGGGTCATATGGGAAACTCTGTCATTTTTCAAATTATCAAAGCATATTTTCTTCCAGTTATTTTATTGCTGCTGCTAAGAAGTGACCTTGATTGGTACAGATCTTTAATACATTTGCTCCTGATAATCCACTGTCACGTAATTGGCTTTGTTGTTGAAGAGCCAATTGCGCTTTGGCACATAGTGTGATGTTTCAGATAGCATTTATGTGCTGGTGCGGGAAAGCCCATGCCTCATTTTTTATTTTCAAGTTCAACCAGCATTATATTTTGGATATGAATGCTGGTATTGGTATGGAGGGAAGTTTAGAAACTAGTTGCAATTGTATGTGGTTTGGAATGAAAACAAAGTTCCATTTCATGCGAAGATCATATACAAATATCATTCTGAAATAAATAGTTTGAAGTAATATCATTGTAACTGTCTTGTAATAAATTCATTTGGAATATGTATGTATTTGTTTGTGATATAGTTTCATAAAAAATGCATATCGTTACTTATTTTGATTCATTTTTTAAAATGCCATGGCATTGCAGAAATAAAATTTACCCCTAGTGCCGATCACATGCTGGTGCATAGTCATAAAATTCTATGTTTAACAGTCAATGTGGTACACACAATAATTTTTTATTACCTCTTTTAAATCATATTTCTTGTAATAAGTAAGTTGGCATATGGGTACAATCTATTTCTATGACACAGCATTAATTATCAACTCAATCTCACATGACCAACAGCAGAAATATGAAATATACTCTTTTTTGCTCATGTTGTATAATTCTTACCAAGTGTTCTGGCATTATTTTCACTTCATTGAGATGCTAATAATGGAGAACCCAAAAGAACATATTATTTTCGACACATTATGTTCTTTAATTTAAAAAAGCTTGCTTGACCGCTGTATAAAATATGTGCAATATATGGGCAAAGTGCTGTTTCAGATGATACAATTGGAAGGTGATTTGAGAAGTATAAAAGCAAAAATTTCAGCCTCAAAGATGATGCCCGCTATGGCCGACCAACCTCTGTAAATAAGTATCTATTAAAAGAAGCTGTCACTGAAAATCCACATTATGCAGTTCAGGAACTATCTGACAGAATAAATATTCCAAAAAGTACAGTATTTCATTATTCATAGAAGAATGGGTGTGTAAATTGCTAAAATATGTGAGTATCCCATTCTTAACAGACCAAAATATGCTTGCTCCAGTTTTGGCATGTCATTCTTTGCTGAAAAGAAATAAAGAAAATCCCCTTTTTTTTTCTTAATAAACGCTGCTTACTGGAAATGACCATTTGTTATTATTCAATAATGTTACAAGAAAACAGTCATGGGTCATGGGGCAAGCCAAAATACTTCGTTTAGTAACATCTAGATGGGGGAAGGGCTCCCAAAAATGTTATTGTTTTGTTTATGGGGTGGACAAAGCGATTATGTACTCTGAATTGTTACCAACAGATCAGAAAATAAATTCAGAAAAATATTGTTCCCAAATGGTTTTTTTTTAATAGTAGAAATTGAAGCGAAGCAATGGAAACGTCCAATGGTCAAAGTGTCTTCCATCGTGACAATGCTCGGTCCCACATTTTGATGAATATCTGACGAAGATCTATTGAGCATAGCTGGAATGTTTTGTGTCACCTTCACAAGACCTTGTCTCCTCAGATCTTCATTCTTCTAGTCACTCAAACTTCTGTGAAAAGCCTCAAGTTCTCTAATTTGAAGATCATAAATAGTAACCTCTGTAACTTCTTTACAAATAAGCGCAATGTTTTTTTTTTTTTTTTTAAGGAATTCTAGCTGCCACAGGAAGGGCAAGATGCTGCTAATGCGATTCCATGAAATTTTCAGTACTTACAGAAAATCCCATCGAGCATTTTTGCCTATTAAAGAAAAGACGGCAAAGTACGCGATTTTTTTGCCAAAAATGGAAAAGGCTTCTTCAGACACGTTGGGTTTGGTGTAACCTTGATTACACGTATTAGTTATTATTCTTGATTAAAGACTTTTTTGCCCTCTATCATGCATTTTCGAAAAAAAAAAAAATTATTAAAATTTGGGACCTGCCTACTACAGAAGAGTACTGATTTTTCATTATTATTTGAGGTGAAGAAAAAGTATTTTGCGAAAAATATTTCCTCACAAAAATTAAAACCTAGCGAAAATAATTGCTTTTACGGTATATCTCCTTAATAAAAAATAATGGAAATTTTTGATGAAAAATTAAATATAAATAAATGATAGTATAATAATTTTGAAAGAAAAATAAGAATAGATTGGTTTTTTTTTTCTTGTATTTAGTAAATGGTTTTTTTTTTTTTTTTTTTTTTTTTTTTTTTTTTTGGTTTGGCGCAATTGGCTCCGTCTCTTGTGATCGATGGGATCTTCCATAAGTACCAAATTTTCTCTCATTTTTTGTATTCATTGTCAGAAAATGACAGAACTTTCTGTCATCCGATAGTGTTTTGAAGTGCATTCAGTGATTCCCAGAATGTGGACTGGAGATAATTTTCGGTATTTCACAAAATGTTTTTAAGCCTTTTTTTTTTTTTTTTTTTTTTTTTTGTTTGTTGTTGTTATGTTGTAATTATTAATTTTGAATTACAAAATACTGAATCCTTTTGTAGGATGGCCACTTCTGAAACTGATCAGTATTTTTAAAGCATAAAGAGACATTGCTGAGAAACACTAGCATACAACAACAAAAGTAATTAAAAAAAATTGCTAATTTATTTTCTTTCTTCTATTGACTAAAATCGCAAAACTCTGACAGTGTATCACAAGTTCTTCTCTTAACAATATTCTAGCTATACAAAGCTAGCTTCCTCATGTGTAATATGAATATAAGCCATTTTCCTTTTAAAAAGGTATAAGAGAACATAAATATCTTTCATAAATGCATGAGAATATAAATATCTTCTATCTCGTACCTATGAGAATATAAGTAAAATGCATGAGCAATTAAGTAACTGTAATGTTCATTCCTTTAAGTAATCCTTTTTAATACAAATTTAATTTTATTTGTCAGCCCTGTTATGCTGTGTGAGTGTTACCTATTTTTTCTACTTCAGGGTCAGTATAGAATATCTTGTTAAATTCTCATGATTTATTTACCTGTTTATAGACAAACTTCTTTTTAAGATCAGCATGCTGTTTCATTAATTATGTGGCAATAATGCTTTAACATCTTCTTCTTTAAGATTAAAAATTTCTAAAGTGACCTGTTTAATCTTGAAAGTGGTAGCATCATTAAGAAGCAAAGGCCATTGGGAAGATTTATAAATGAATGCTGTAGGTTGCATGCATCAGTTGTTGCTATTGTGCTTTTTACACCCCCCAGTCAATTTATATGAAAAATACAGTCCTCTTATGAAGATTATTATCAGTCTGAACAGACAAGCATTTTAGTTAATGTAGTGCACATTCATTGTAAGTAGGTGGCAAAGAATCCGTTCAGAAACAGTTTTAAGTAGCACTACTCGTGGATTTCAAAAACAGCAAACAAAATACAGTAGTACTTCAATTATCCAAATCAATTGGGACCGGACCCCATTTGACTAATCAAAAATTTGGATAATTGGATTTTTTCCGAAGAAGGAATATATGTACATATTTGCTAATTACTGTATGTACTGCATGTTGAAAATGAGAGAAAAAAACTATTTTTTAAGAAAAAGAGGTTTTAATTAATTAAAATGGAAAGGTAACACTTTTACGTACATGTTAGATAGCGTACTGTACAGTATGTTCAAGTGCTGATTGCTTGCTGAACATCTCAGTTAAAGTAAGCTGCTTGATGAACACCGTGCCTGCACTTAAAATTTCTTAGCCAGCCATTGCAGGCTTTAAAGGATGACGAGCCAAGCTTCTGAGCTAAGATCTTAGCTTTTTCACAAAGAATTGGACCCAAAATTGATTTTTCTATAGAACGTTGCTTCAAAAACCACTTGAAAATGACATCTTCTACATTTTTGTTTGTTGCTGCCTTCGTTGATTTTCTTGAAGAACGTCAATCTTCGTTTTCTGCATGAAGATTAAAAGTGTAGGTTTGCTCCTTTTAATGTATGAAATCGTTGACTGTCCAACACTACGTTTTCATCTTAATTTTTTTTCTTAAATTCTGAAAGCGATTCAGATAGTCGGAGTTTGGATAATTGGAGTAATACTGTAATAACTTTCCAAACTAGTACTTATCTGTGTACCAACTGGTACTTATCTTGCTCATCAAGCATTATCTTGTTTAAGTATAAATGCATATAATCAGATGGCATGTAAATAAAAATGCATATAATTAGATTTTTTTTAATACAGTCAAAAGTCGTTAATCCGGACTCGTCGGGACTTCGGCGATTCCGGATTATCGATTTTTCCGGATTATAGATCATCAGTTTAAATCTCGTAAGATGGCATGCAGAAATTCTAAAATTAAAAATATAAAACCGTAATTTATGAAATAAAGAACAATTATGATCTAAAGGGTATCAAAATTTACAAAAAAAAAAAAAAAAAAGCTTAATATTTATTTGTTTACTTTATTAAACATTTCTTTTAATGTAAGTTGTTTCGTTTTATGTGATAATACTTTCTCTTTAATTCTATAAACAGACATAATTTCTTGTTCAGTTACAAAGTTACGTTATTCAAGTCCCGTATTTTAATATGTATATTAAAAATACCCATCACAAGTAGAAAATATCTTTCTAAAAAGAATTTCAATGACTAACTCTATTTACCTTATCAACATTATCATATTAGCGGAGTAAACAAATTCTGCAAGTCTGTTCAGCAGCGTTTCTAATATGGTATCTATAATCATATTTTAGTCAGTTTGTGAAATTAGATTATAAGATAAACTTTTTTGAGACTTCATAGCATTTTACAATTTTCTCCATAACTAATATGCATTTGGCCTCAAAATTACCTTCATGGGTTTCATACTCACCATTTGATGAACATGGTTTGATAGCATGGTCAGTTTCAATAAGGCATGGCTTGATCTTGAATCATTTTTAATATTAGTCTTATGCCTTCCATAGTATAAATTACGCTAAAAACATCAGAGAATACCAAAATTTTGACATTGCACACCGACTGTCTACTAAACTTATTTTCATCATTGTTCCCATTACAGATTTTGCAACAAAATGTATTCCTGGAGAAATTTTGCTGCAGTTTCTTCCATTACTGTCAAATTAAATTAGTTTAAGATGAAAAATATCACAGTTTGTCTTCAAACATTGGAATTTGGAATGGAAAAGAAATGTACAAAAATAGTGATATTGCTTGACAGAAGAATTGTTATGAGTTTGCTTGTCCAAAGAATAATTCTCCCTATTGTTGGCAGAGTTTGGCACAATCTGAAAATTTTGCAGCTTCTGTTAAGCTAGTTGCGATAATGTGTAAATACTAAAAAATGCTTTGAATTATTTATTTTGCATATTATTTATTAATTCTTGATCTTGAATCTTTCTTTCTTGATGCCTTCTTATAGTGTATAACACTTTGTTCAATAAGTCTTGGGACTAACTGACAGATGGCGTAGTAATATCAACCTGACTTCGTTGTTCAAAAGAACTAGCCTTCAAATGACACGTGTCTGATTTTCATGGCATTTGCACCGGAAACAGCAAAGCTATTGTGGTAAACATGACACTACTTGTGCATTTGTGGACAAAATGGAGAAAAATGAATTTCGAGTGTTGACCAAACATTGCTATTTAATGGGCAAAAATAACGTCCAAGCTCAGAAATGGCTTGAAAACTAATATCCAGACTCTGCTCCATTGAAAACAACCATTTGTCGTTGGTATACTGATTTCCGTCTATATGAAGGCCGTCCGAAGCGTCCCAAAATGCAACAGTCAGCTGGCAAAGTCATGGCTTCAGTGTTTTGGGATGCGCGAGGTATAATTTACATCGACTACCTTGAAAAGGGAAAATCTATCAATAGCACCTATTACAGTGAGTTACTATTGCATCTGAAGAATGAAATCGAAAAAAAAAAAAAAAGCACATGAAGGGAAAAAATCATCTTCCAATGCCCCGTGCCACAAGTCAATGCAAACACTGGTTACATTGAACAAGTTAGGCTACACTCTGCTTCCCCACCCACCATACTCCCCAGATCTAGCCCCTAGCGACTACTGGCTGTTTGCTGATCTGAAAAAGATGCTCCAGGGGAAAAGATTTATCTCGAATGAGGAAGTCATTGCTGCCACTGAAGCTTATTTTGCGGACAAGGACAAATCGTTTTACAAGGATGGTATAGAAAAGTTAGAAAAGCGTTGGAATGATTGCATAGCTCTTGATGGTGATTATGTTGATGAATAAATGTAAATTTTGTGAAATGGATGTTATTTTCTTAGTTAGTCTTGGGACTTATTGAACGATGTGTTATTTTTTTAGAGTTAGCTAAATGTTAGTTAGTTAGATGTTCATCAAAAAATTATATATAAGCACTTTCAGATGATGAACTTCTGATTCATTTTAAAAGCTTACAATTTTTCTGTGTAAATGAAGTATACACTTGAGTCACTTGAATGTATGATTTTTCTTTTAGAGTTATTTACTAGAAAAATTCTACTCAGTTGTATGTATATGTATACATATATATAGAAACTTTTTCAGAGCTTTTCAACTTTCATTTTAGGCTGCTCATCTTTTTTGGGGAATTTGGGCATTGATTCAATCGGCACATTCCACACTTGGATTTGATTTTTTAGGGTAAGTGCTTTATTTTTAATACAAACTATTTAGTTGCTGTTAGATACTATTAAGTAATAGTACTTTCCAATGAACAAGATGCCATTTAGCAGGAAATGTAAATGTTAGCACAAAATCTTAATGGGAGATGGGAAAAACAACTCTAAAGATATTAAAAATGAAGTAATAAGTTGTCTGAAGTGTGATCTCACCAAAGCTGCAGATGTCCTGAGGTGGGCCATTTTGTGTCACTTAGAAACTGAACGACATAGTAGTTTATATCTGAAGAACACCTAAACTCTAAGCAGTGCAAATGGGTTAGCAGTTAGTTTTGATAGTTTAAGTGCTATCAAATTCAAAACTGAAAGATCTACAACTCTCTACGAGAAAAAAAATGCTTATATACAAAAAGTTGCCACAATCAAACCCTAAAATTATCACCCCGAAAGTAACAAATAAATAAATAAATTCTTTAAAAAACATTGTACTAAAGGGTTTGTTAAGGTTTATTTTTGACTCTTGCTGAGCTTGCAATTTAATAATCTGTTCATGAACGCACTCTTGCTAATAAAACTTTTTTGTCTAACTTTAATTTTAAACATCATGCCAGATAAAATTCAACAACAAAATCATGAAATTTTTAAAAGATGATGATATGTTTAGAGTTCCCAAATAGTGTTAGTGCTGCTCTTAATTTTTTCAGTCTTTTAGTTCATCATGTCTGTATTCAGTTTTCTTAGTAAGATGACTTACATAACTTTGTCTTTTTTATCATTTTTATCTTATTGTTATTACTCATGCTGCCTAAAATTCAGCAACAGAATCAAAATATTTCAGAACAGCAAGTAATACATGGTAACGACATCTTTTTATTTGAAAAGTCAAACAGACAAAAAAGTGAGAATTGAGATTTTGTTGCTAATAGATAAAATAATGCAGAAAGACAGCAAATGAATTTAAATATTTACAGAAATTAACAATGTTCCCCTTTGTTAAGGACTGCATGTATGGGCTGTGCAAATCCTCATTGAAAATTTAGTGCAGATCCAGAACAACTAACCCTCATTGTCAAAACAAAGTTTGTCATTGTGATAGACTGGCATTTAGTTGTACTTTAGATTCAGAAGTTCATTCACTATATCCCTTTTGTTTCTTGATGACATGCGAGATCCCTCAACAACATTTGAGGTTCTGCAACCAGACTTGATCTCTCTCTCCATGGATTTGATGTTGTGTCTTGTCTTTATCCTCTCGATCATCATGTTGATCCTTTCTCTGATGAATTGATGAACTTCTACCCTACAGATCCCCTAGGTACCGGTTAGACAAAGAAGGCATGCCCAATAAGCAGATTATATGATAAACAAAGATCATGACCCAGAATCATTTATGATGGAAAAAATACGGTGATCTTGTTCACTGTTACCTGCTAGCAGTAATGGTAATTTTTGAAATACATGTAGCAATATAATGAATACTGTATAAATTTTCTTACCCTTTCAAGCATTAATGAATGAGTTTAAAACAGGTTCTATTCTTAAATAGAGCAAACTGCCAGTATGTGAAATTCTTAGTATGCTTAACATGCAGCAAGTCACATTATTCATAAATTTGCAAACTATAAACTTTAATAATAGTTTGTCTAATATTTGGACATTTTATTTGAATTATTCATAAGAACTAGCAAATCAGTCCTAAAAACAGGGAAAAAATTTTTAAATCCTGCTCTAGAAGACATTCCAGCTGGCAATTACATTAGTTAATTTTATATGAAATAAAAAAAATGGTAAAATTTAGTAATTTTAATGTGTAACCTTTGTAGGAGATATAAATATCTATAGAGAGAGAGATGATCTACTATTGTTCAATTAAATTTCTCTACTGTACCATCCGACTATGGCTGTAAAGGAATGGTTTGAATTTTTTCCGTACAGAGAATTCTACAAAGTCCTTTTAATATGGGAGTTGTGAAGTTTGTTCCTTGCTCAGAGTGAATAAAAGTAAGCACTCCAAATAGTGAAATCTATTTCTCCAGTAGGACTTCTGAAATAGTTGAAGCTTCTTGATCAGGGGTGGCATAAGCTTCCAACCATTTACTAAAATAATCCATGACAACCTGGATGTACTTTTCATTCTTAATTGTACCAGAGAAATGATGTAGAATATCTAGTGCATCCTTCTCTTTAGTACTGTATCTTTCTTGTATATGTGACATTTTGAGCTCCACATGCATCATTTTGCTGCATCACTTTGTCCCACAAACTTTATATGTCTTCATTACATCAAAATGACTTCCAACTTCATTTCATCGATGGAAATTTCACAAGTCTCACAATCTTTCTTCAGGCTAAAACAGATGTAGAAATGTGATGCAACTCCTGTGATATGTGTGGAGCTCATAAATCTGTACACAAAGATGATAATGCTACTGCGAAGGAGCACAATTTAGAAAGATTGCTATGGATATTCTCAGTACTTCACATAGGAAAATAAGTTTATCTTAGCTGTTATGGACTACTTCAGTAAATGGCCAGGAGCTGAATGAAATTAAAGAATGGCAGCATCAACTGCCACATGAGTTCTTGTAGAAAACTGAATTTTCGAATTTGAAATGGCATTCTTCATTTCTGCCATATCTAAAGGACTATGTATTATTCTCAATATAAAAATGACTCAAACTTCTTTACTTCCACAAACAAGAGATGTGACCAAACAATATTGAACCATCTCTCTCTATTTATAACCCATAGGTTGGGACTAAAAATGTCATTCCTGCTAGCAAATAGGAGAGCTGTTCATGAGAGCACTGGATTTTCACCATCATAAATGATTTTTGGCCGTGATCATTGTCTGGCATATGGCCTACTATTCAGACAACCAATGATATATCAGTGATTATGCCTCGTTCAGAGATGGATTAAAATGACTGCATATGTTAATGATTGCTTGTTCAGATGTTTTAAAATTTTACAAAGTATTAACCCTTTAAGCTAGCAGCTCCACCCATAAGATCTTGTATATTTTGACTCATATAGCATATCGCTATTTATTTTATTTTGTACATCGGCATTTCCATTCCATTATTTATTATCCTTATTACACCTTAATGTGTTTCTTCAAGTGGACGCGTCAGGAAATTGGAACAGAGAATTGAGACTCAAGATTCTGACAAAGTTCATTTAATTAATTGAAAAATGTGTCGTGTACAGTATCAATTGTCTGTTTCGGAAAAACGCGTTATGGAGTTAGTTTAGTTCAAAATTCATTAAAAAATACTTCCCCTGATGTGCCTTAATGAAGTTCGATTTGGGCTAATCTGTCATTTACCGCTTCTTAATTTTTATGTTTTTACTCGAATAATTAGTTAATACTTTTACTAATGTTTTAAATATACCTTAATTAGATTAGCATATTGCTTACTATTAGTATTGATTTTTACTTGTAAATAATCAAATGTTGTATTTTTCTCTTATAACACATTTCATTGCTACTTATTTTGCTTATGTTAAAGTTTTCTTGGAACCACGGTATTTCAGTGGCTTTTTAGCGTTCAAACTAGGATTTTTCTTTTAATATTTTTTAATTTTGTAGCACAATGTGCAAGTTTTTGACCACATAGGTCTTTTATTGTTTGTTCTTTCTATTTTACTTTAAATTATATATATATATATACATGTAGTGATGATACTAACTGGGTCAGACGAAGTGCAATTAGCTTTCAACACTAAAAAGCATCTGGTATTCACATCTGTTCTGAGCAGCGGCTTTCTGTCTCTAAGCAAGCAGTTGCAATGACAGCAGGCAAGCTTCTGTTGTGAGTCATGATGATTATCATTTTACTTCACAGTTGAACTCATGCCACTTAACATAAAATTTGCGTATATCTCTGGACTGAGCGAATATGTGACGAAATGAGGCATAAAAAGAAGAATCAGTATTAAGCTAACTCTTAGTGCAATTTGAATAAAAACCACTAATCTTCTTTAAAATATGTGAGACTGCTATAAGTGTAAAATATAAATGTTTGAAAAAGTTGTATAATTTAATGCTAAATACTTGAAAAAGTTTGTGAAGTTAATTTTATTCTTGAATTTGTTTTGTAATTCAGTTAAATATTAGATTATGTTTAATAATAATGTATCCTACTCACAGATTTATTTTATTCTTAAAAATTAAAAAGAGAAGTTCTGAGTGTAAATAATTGCTTTAGTTTACTGAGTTCCTATTTGTTTGATGGATCCTTAATTTTTTTTTTTTTTTTTTTAAATTTATATCCTTAAAAGTACTTAATTTCCACATGCAGAAATGTGTATGTTTAATCTGTGTTGTTGCAATTCGTAAAGTTTCCCCCTAATGTCTGTCTGTCAGCCGTGTTCTTGTTTTCGACTTTAGGATTTTCGTTTTACTAAAACGCGGTTCACATATGTAGGTACTGCCAAAGATAGAAAACATGAAGAGTGTGTGTTTACAAATCCCTGGATACTCATCTTCGATCACGTACTTCAAATAAAAATAAATTAATGTAGGATTTTCAAGAAACTTGCATTTTACTGCAGTCACACTGTAAATCTATAAATTCTAATTGAAGTTCAGGTGGAACACTTCCAACGTCTACTGAAAATGGTGAGAAGAACAAACATTCTGATAAAAATTTCATTTTCACGAAAATTGGAAAATCTACTTTTGAATTCCATGTTGTAGAATTGAATTCCATGTCCTTCACACACTCATCAATTTTGGAAAGTGAGTGGAATTCTCATTTAGCAACTGACTTTCCCACAGGTTAAATTTTGTCTGAAAAGTTTTCATAAAGTATTAAAGATTATGAACAAGTAAAACTTTTCCCAGTAAATGATAGTTCAAATCATTGAGATGACCTGTAATATCGGCAAGAAATGCAAAGTCCTCAACCAGTTCTCATCACTGAACTCGTGAATAGATTTTCCTTTTAGATTCCATGAATTGTTGAACTCTCTTCAAAGAAAACAGATGCTGAAGCATCTTTCCTCGTTTCAACCAATGTACTTCCACGTAATACACAGCATCACCATATTCAGCTTCCAAATCACTCAAGAACTGTTGAAATTGCCTGTGATTAAGTCCTAAAGACCGAATGAAATTAACCACTTTTACAACAATATTTCATCACATGTTCAAAGTTTGAGAAGGACTTCTTGCACAAATTTTCTTGGTGGATGATGCAATGGAAAGTCATCATAATACTATTTCCACTTGCTTTCACATCATTTGAGTAATGTTATTACTCCTATTTTCTCTCCAGTCATAGATTTAGCACCGTCCGAGGTTATAGCAGATATATTACTGAAGTCAACATTACATTTATCCAAATATTGTGTCAGACTCTAACACAAATCTGTTCCTTACTACCTGTAAGTACAATGACACTAACTAATTCCTCTACAATTGTGAAGTCTCTATCAACACCACGAATAAAAATGGCTACTTGTGCTTTCTGTTGCATCTGTTGATTCATCCATCGCTACAGAATAAAACTCAAATTTTTTGCATTTTGGATTTTAATTTACTGAATATATCTGTTGCGAGATCCTCTATGTGCCTCGCTACTGTCACACCAGACAAGCTAATATTTGATATGACTTGAGCCTGTGATGGACAAAGTACATCAATTGCACTCTGAAGACATTCTTCTGAAAATTCTTCATAAGCAAAGGGTTTTCCACGCTTCGCAATTTTTTCTACTATCATGTAACTAACACGAACACTATTTTCAAATATTTTTATTCGCAGTGGTGAAGAAAGGCTGCTGAAAATTTAGTTTTGATTTTAATTCACTCACCTTATCACTTCAAAAATGACCTTGCAATGCAGAATATTTCTCACTGTGCTTAGTATCATAATGTCTTTTAATGTTGTATTCCTTCATCACAGCCACACTGTCATTGCAAATAAGGCAAACTACCTAAAATTCGTCATTTTCAGAAAATTTTTTCTCAAATAATATCAGGCATGTCAATAAAACGTTTAAATATCAAGAATAAGAGGGGGGAGTTTTTTTTTACAACAAAAGTCTCTAATTTAAACAATACTCCAAAAATGGGTGGTCCACTTTAGCAGTTTATTAATTGTCTGTTACTTAATACTATTTTTGACATTAAATTTTTTTACAGGTATGCAAAACAAAGGCTGGATGAATATTTTGCACGGAAAGAAGATTTTCTTAGTCTGAAAATGAATCAAAATTGTCGTAATGGATCGACAGTCAGTGAACCTTAGACTATATTTTTATGTTAATAAATTTATTGGTATTTGGGACTAATTTATTTCAAGTTTAGGAAATACATATTTTATAAGGATTTAGAATTTTGATTATTCATATTATCCCAATAAAAATAAATTATTTATTTGTGTCATCTCAAGGAAAGCATTTAAAAGAAAAACTGGTGCTAAGGAATAATATTTCCCCTAAAGTTCAAAAGTTATTTAGTTTTACAATATTTTAAAGTTTGCATAATCATGCTAGTCATTTTTTGTTATCTTTTCTTTGATGAAATCAAATACTCAAGAAGTTTCTTGAGGGTTCCCCTTCCCCTGTTTAGTCAGTATCTATGTAGTTGTGTAAGCAAATTTATTATATTTAGTAAACCAGAGTAATTTTTATACTAAGCAATAACTATCAAGAAAAGAGAAAATTATGAAAAGACAAATAGATATGTATTTCCTTTTCCACAATAATCATTTTTATATTTTATGTATTCTAGAATTATTTTGTACTCAGGAATTAAAAGGAAATCTAATTCGGTTCATTTCTTAACTAATGTTTATTGTGTTTACTGAAATGGAAAGTGTATTTAGATAAGATATTTGATTAATTGGATAATTAATATTGAAATATGTAAATAATAAACAAATAAATATGCTCAAGACCAGGCAAGAAAATCTGATGGACGAATAATCCATTCCATTCTTTCTGATTAATATGAAGTGGAAAACATCCCAGCAGTCTTTGATGGAATCATTTTAGCAGTAAAGTGTGAAAATGAGGAAGCATATTGTGTCAGATATTTGAAATCATTTGATGATATATTTACATAAATTAACAGAATTGGATTTGCCTCAGATTTCCTTACTATCTGCATATTTGGCAATATTTTTCTGTCATGTTTTTTGTAAAATATGTGTCAAAAAAATTTTTTTCCTGAAGTATTGTTTGATGAGAGTATGTATTTATTTTTAAATTATTTGCTTCAAAGTCATTTTACTAAGAGTTTCATTTATTGTGTTGCAGTGTAATTTTTATAATGTAATGCCTACAATTTTCCATTTCTTAGAATGTCACCTAAATGGAATTTTTATACAAGAGTGTATGTATTCTGTTCTTCTTAATAGCAAAATTTGCTTATCTTGTTTACTGCAGATTCTTCTAATTAGGTACTTTTTCAAAATTATGAATCATGTTAATGCACATAAACACAATAAAAAGTCTGCAAATGCAAAATTAATTCTGATACAATTCATTAGAATAGTAATTTTCCAAGAAAAAAAAGAAATGCTGACATGCTTTTGCGATGATTTTGCGCACCCCCACAAAAAGTTGCCAACAGCAAAATTTCATATATCATTTCCTAACTGTTCATCAAAGCATAAAGAGCATAAATCAACATGCACTCAAACACATGAGTGGCATGTAAATATGTCAATTGGCTATTGCCATGCTTTTACTCCAAAGTATAGCGAGAAACATGGTGTTTTACTACATGTCAATTGGCTATTGTCATGCTTTTACTCCAAAGTATAGCGAGAAACATGGTGTTTTACTACATGTTGAAACTGGAGGTGCATATAATCAGGAAGAACCTTCCTTTTTTATACAGTTCATCTATCTTGTCATTCAGAAAATCAGAACAATAAAAAAATTGTACTCCACAAATGAAGGGAGGGAAATAAAAACCTTTTTGCTACAAAGGCTTTATTTTTTTAAGATTTTCTATTTTAGGTTTTTTTTAAAAATTTAGTTGAAAGAAAAATAGAAACTTTTCTAGTAATACCCACTTTATTAATGATTTGGAGACTCAAAATGCATCTAGTTGTATTTTGATTTTAAAATACGGTAACAATATTTGAATTTTTCATTTTTTTTTGCTTTTAAAAAGGTTAACAGAATTTGAAATAGTTATTAAATATAGGATTTGAATAAATAAGCATTTTATTTAAAGCATTTAGTCACCCAACATATTTATGGCAAAATGTTGGAATACTAAGAAATAGTATATAGTTTCTTGCTAACTTCTCTGAAGCAACAACTGTCTCATTCCCAAAATGTCCACATTGTCCAGCAACGTAAGCAGAATGAATGTTCAGCAGTATTAACAATCATTTTACTAAACTGCCATCGGTGCATTCACCAAGTTGTTGAATGCACCGAATCCCGCATTCACCAAGTCGTTGAATGCACCGAATCCCGCATTCACCAATTCGGTGAATGCGCCGAATCCCATCCTTGCTTGTAATAATAAAAGTGACTACGTGTAGTGTTGTAAGTTTTTGGTCGCGTTCTTGGATATCTCGTTTTCATGTACGGTAAAAATTCGATAATTCAGCACTCATGGTCTTGTTATATCAGTTAATCTGGCACTTTTTTCACTAATACTACTGTTGTAAGATGGGCTGCTACTGGGCATTTTGATTTGCTAAAACTCAGCATTTGATTTGTATGTATTTCCTATTTTTCATTAGTTTTGTATCAGTTTGTCGTGTTTATTTAAAAAGTTTCGAGAACTTGATTCAGTTAGATAAATACACATTTTTGTTTTATTCAAATAAAACATATTAAATAATATAATGGAATAAAACAAAAATGTGTATTTATCTAACTGACTATAAAAAATGTTGAGACAGAAGTGTTATAATGTTAAATATATATGCATATATATTTAATACTAGAAAAATATTCATATTCTAGGATTTTTTTAAGAGCGAAATTTATGGAGCAGGTGCATATTCAAACTTTTTATTAAAAAGTATCTTATACGAACAGCAATAACGATTTCAAAGCAAAAATGAAAATTAACTATGAATAAATTTTTCACATTAAATGTATTTGGAGAATTACTACATGTAATTTTTCTTCCCTGTTCCTCAATATATTCAATAATGTGCAAAATTATTATTTTGAGGTGCTGTATAATTTTATTCCAATAATCTGGCCTCTCCGAAGTTTGTTCACATAAATTTAGAATAGAATGTAATTGTAATGGTTAAAAATTAAAGTGAACCTTTCTAATCCTATTGAAATATTAATCATGTTTTCCAGCCAGTAATCTTGTCAAGTAATTTGGTAGCTAATTTATGTTGTGATACTGAATTTTAGTCATTTGTATAGAGCTGTGATTTGGAATTTGTATTGTGCAATGTTTACTATTGTTAGCATAATTGCATTTTAAATATTTATGGTACATTCACTTCTGCTTTAATGAATGGCAAATGAGTGATTGGGGAATTCGGATTTCGAATGCTGTATACACTGTGTAATTCCACCCCAGTCCAGTTTGTTTTAAGAGCTTTAAATGTGGTATATATAATTATGAAGAGAAATTTAAGTAATATGTTATTTTATGAAGGTAAAATATAATTTTCAGTATACATGTTAGACTTTTTTGACAAATTAATGTTATTTTGCCAGATTTTCAATTTTTGAAATTCTTAGAGGTTGTAATTATTATCCAGTTCGATTCCCTAGCTTAATTTAACAAAAATTCATTGTTGTGAAAATGTACATAGAAAGTCTAATATATTTATAATCAATATTTGTGTCAAATTATAATGTATAAAACTTCCTGTGTCTATCAAACGTCTGCCAAAGATTTTATGTGAAATATATGTATGCATGTCATGTAAAAATAATTGGATGAAAAATTAAAATGTCAGAAATATCAAGAAGTGGAAATTTTGAAATTTATTTACTACAAAATATATGATTAAACCATGAAACAGTCAGTTTAGGAGTTATCCTAATATATGACAAAGTTAAAAATACGTTTCATCAACTCCTTTCCCTTCCCCCTTGAAAATTTAAAATTTTTATAACATCTATAAATGGGACAGTTATTAAAAATTTGTTTTGTATTTCACGTTTTTATGTATTTACTTTTTATTATTATTATTTTGGCTGTATTGTGATACTAGTGTGAAGGATGCCTGGCTTAAGTACTTGCTCTAAAATGGTTGAAACATTTTAATTGCTTGTTCAGTTTAATGTGTGAACTTAAACCTTGAATTTTTTAATTAGTACTTAAGAAGCCGTTTTTGGAGTCATGGTTTGCAGTCATAAGACTTTTGTCAGTTTCCTAAATTATTATTTTGAATATTGTATCATTTCACTTTATTTTCTAGTCATAATGTTTTAGTTTTGTTATTAGTGTTAGTCTGAATAAATAAAAAATTAATTATTTCTTAATGAAAACAATTTATTAGTTTGTTTTGTTATTAGTGTTAGTCTGAATAAATAAAAAATTAATTATTTCTTAATGAAAAAATTTTTAGTCACTGAATGTTTCAGTAATTTTTAAATGCATGTATAAAATGAAATTTATTTGAATATTATCGAAATAGAATATATGTATATATTTGTTCTCAACTATCACATTTGTTTGAAACCAAAATCAGAAAGCAAAGTCTTGTATCATTTTAGTAATAGGGGCGACACATGCAAATACACGTTAATAAATTGCATTCTGAATGCATCAGTTCTATTTTGTTTTGTTTGTACCTCTAAGTTTTAACTACAAATATTGTAAATATAAGACTGGGTAAATTTATTGATATTATTTATTATATTTATGATAACTTGTATATTTTTGGAGTGTGTAGTGTTGATTTTTTTTTAATATGGTGTACTGTTATTTTGAAAAAAAATTGCACTGCCTTTAACTTCCTGTACTGTTCTTAAAGATTAAAATATGTCTGTAGCAAAAGTACTTTAATGTTATTTTTTTAACTTCTATGTATATATGTAAATAATAAAATGTGAAGTTGTGCTACATAATCCTATTCTATTAATATTTATGTAAAAAAACCGAAATGTGCACAAATGTTTTCATATTTTGTGTGTTTTCAAAAATGTAGGCAACAAATGTGCAAGAAAAATGTCTGAAATATGTCTTTAGCTAAACTAATGAAATACTGAATAACATCACATTAAATTAATTGAACTGTTGTCATAGTAATCCTAAATGTCTCCTTAATATTTTTATTGAAAAACACTTAAATATCTTTACATATGATGAGTTGTTTTTCCTCTGTTATACGATGGATTATTTTTGAGAGACTATGCACACATGAACAGGAGATCAAAATTATGTTTTATTCGAATAGAAAATGCAGTGTGATTCTTCAAAATAAGTGACTGAAGTTTTTGAAGTCTGAGAGACTGAAGTCCTATGAGGAATGAATTTTAAGTGATTTTTTGTGCAAAGAAATAAACTTCTGAGGAGCAACAGTTAAATATTATACCTGTATTAACATATTAAACAAAGGCTTTATTAAAAATTATGCATATTCATATCTGTCAATAGGAAAAGGAGACAAACCTTAATTTTTACTTTTATGCTTTTAAATTAACTGATATTTGAATTCACCTATATTATGTAATTCATTTTCAATTCAGTTTTAATGCTTTCACAATACAATAAAGAAATTAGAAACAATATATATGCACTGTGCCCACAGAAATTTCTTATGCGACCTTTATTTTTGCAACCGTTGGTCACAGATGTGTACTTCTGATTGCGGAAAGCTTTAAGTAAGAAAAATACTCATGCTATGACACTTTTAAGAAATCCATTTTCTAAAAATCACAAAATGTAACTTTTTCCATGGCTTGCTGGTCTCTATAGTTCTGTCTAAAAATATTAGACTTCCGTGCAACAGAAATTGACCAAGGTAATTTAATTTCAAAATTTGAGATCATGTTTAGAGCTCATACTCAAATTGAAAAGCGAAGTGTTTCCGTTCATACATATTTAAAGATGATATCAGTTTAGGAAAAGCTTTTTAATGTTAATGTATTAAAAATGGGCATTGCTATGCAAACTGCCCAGAAAAGTATTCATCAGTATAATAGTTTCAAAAAGTAGATCTTATTCACAGAACTCTATAAAATTGAGTGATAGATTTCAGTATTGCTGCAGAACCAATTTATAATACTATTTGCATAAATTAAAAATGAAAAATATTTCTTAGTTTAATGATTTTTTATATTGTTATTAGGCTATGATTCAAAAATAATAAAACTACATGTTAGTATTAACATATTTTTAGCATTTGAAAACTTATAAATTACTTGTTATGAAAATTGTTTCACTTGTATGATAATATGTAACAAAATTATAAATTAAAGAATGTTACACACTAGTAAATGACGAAGAAATATCACTGCATAATATTCAGGGGCGTAGCTAGAGGGGGGCATCTGTCCCCGGGCGCAGAATCCAAGGGGCGCCAAACTGATGTTACGACATTTTAGAACTAAATGTTTTCCATTGTTGGCAAGCAGTAGGGGGCACGAAACCTTCAGTTGTCCCTGGGCGCTGAAAACCTTAGCTACGACTCTGATAATATTAAAGGAGAAAATTAATGTCAAATTATTCTTTGTTTTTTAACCAACCATCTAAGGCAAGGCAGAAATGTCAAAAGTGCAGACTTTTAAATTTGCATTATTTAAAAAAAAATTTTGTTATTGGAGATGTATATTTGCAGTCGGTAATTGCAGAAATAAAGGTTGCATAAGGACTTTACGTGTATAATTAAATTTCCTGGCACAGTGTATATTAAATTTACTGGTAATTATTGAGAATTTTCTTTAGCATCTGAAATATAAGATTATAATATATAGTGTATGCCTGACTTCATGATGCACACTGCTGAATGTTATTGGTATTTATGTATTATCCCCGTCAAAATTTTGTCAGTGGTCACCAATCACTAGTTGTTACTGTGGAATTCTAAACAACATGGTGATCCATAAATGGCGCCAAATTGTGCTACTTGGCCAGTCAGCAGGATAATATTTAAGTACCATGTTATCTAATATTACTAGCAATGCGTGTATGTTTGTAACTTTTAAACATGTAGCATTGTACTCCTTCTTGTCATAAAGCATATGCATGTTAAATATTGGTGAATCCATGCATGATATCACTGCCTGTGGATTGTTTTAACAGTTATTTTCAACAAATTTACGTATTAATAGTATTTTGTAAGAAGTTACTTTTCAATAAATTTTGGGAAATTGTTGAAAAAAAAAAAAAAATCACTTTTCTATAGAATCGCTTAAAAAGTTTTGCTTTCATGTGATAAATCTTTCGCATTCTTACAGTATGTTCCCGTTATATTAAAATAGATGGAAGTGTTATTCAGACGAAAAGAATTATTCCAAGATGATAAGAATTAAGTCAACTCCTGATTAACCACACTGCAGATCAACTGGGCCCTGTCTTAAAAAAAAAAAAAAAAAAAAAATCATTACCATCCCAATTCTTATTTTGTCATTGGGAGTTCTTAACTAGGATGGAATATCCCCCCTTGGGAAGTGAGAGAATTTCACAGTTTCAAGGGAGGAATGCACTTTTATGCAAGTTTTGGTATGTATCAGTATTTTCTGTACTTTTTTTTGTTTAATTTACAATACACGTTATAGTATAATTTTGATTCAGATAAATGTATACATATTTTTCAAATCCTGAAAAGGGCGAGGAATGATTATGAAAAAGGTACATGGAGCAAAAAAGGTTGAGAGCCACTGTTACAGACATTACACGTTTCAATTATTGTATTAGTTGTGTTGTTTGCTGTACATAATGCACAGTTTTGTTGAACAAGACTCGGAACATCAGAGAGGGGGAGGGGTTGGCTAATTACTGTAAGCTTGAAGGTGTTGGAATGTTTCTGTTTCATTTCGCGATAAATCTAGTGAACTCCTGGTGCAAAATGCAGTAAAAATTAACATGAGACGAATAAATGTTGTCCTGAGAACTTGCCATGAAGAAAAAGTTATGCAGTGCAGATATGCACCTGGTCTAATTGATCTGAACTTGACATTAAAACAAACACAAAGGAAAAAGTATCACCACTTTCATTTATTCCATCCAAAAAAAGAGAACATTAATCAAAAGAGGGTACCGGAAATTTTTATTACCAGAAAAGCAGCAGTTTTTTGCTGAAATTTACCAGAAATTTCAGCAAAAAATTAGTTTACAGGTTAATATAAACTGAATTTATTTTCATGTTTGAATTCGGGTGGTATGAAGGTTTACTTTGTGTCACATTTTATTTAACTCTTTAAAAGGCAATTAACCTAATTAGCAAAACTCTTGTTTTATTTACTATATCAGGTGTTACAATGAAATTATTTGCGACAATTACTCATATTTTGTCCAAGACTCGGGGGGAAAGAAATGACCACTTCTGGTGGTTAGTGTCAGTGACCACCGCCCGCAGAACACATCCGTAGAGAACAGTCTCTATAGTACTCATGGAAACAGTTTTTCTTTTTCAAGCAGAGTGCAACTTTGCATGTGCTGCATTCCCACACTGTTCTGACAGGCCTTTTCTTGCTACATTTATTCTTACAGGCTTTTTCATGGTGCTACATAATTCACATCGTCGTGATCTTGTCTTCGATGGCTGATGCTTATTTTCTCCAAGACGTATTGCGGCATCAACTGCTGGCTTATGTTTCTTGATTGCCATCTAGTGAGCTACAAGGGAACTTCAGAACTTCATATTTTCTTTAACATTTTAATCAGTTTTATTTAAATAAAAATGCATTGAATTCATGCCATATCTAATTAAATATCCAGCATTTTTTTGGAATTACATTAAATATTTTTTCTTCTTTTTTATATACAAGAGGTATAGTATATATAACATTCCTATATTAAGCTAAATGGATATTTATCAATTATCCTATAAAATGGTTTGGTATTTCATGTGAGCCTATTGATAATCTCTACTGATAAACATATTAATTCTTAAAGGAGCCCTTTTTAAGGGACCATTAAAATCTAAACGCTTTTAGATTTAAGATTTTGCATGCACTTAATCAGAAGTTAATTATAATTTGAGTAATTGCTTGTGTGAAATTTTACATCCGATGGCTAATAAATTCATGTGGAAATTTTTCAGTATTTATTATTTTTAGCATTCTTTTATATCATTTATAATTTTTAAACTGGTGGCCGAGAGAATTTTAGGCAGCTCGCAAATGCATTTCAATTATACATTTGTTGCAAAGATTTCAAAATTTTAGTTATATGAGGTTCAAATTTACATTATTTTCATTACCATTAAAAATGCACACGAAACGCACTACAAAATCGATAAATGGAGCTAATTAATTTACATTGTGATATAAATTTTATTCTGGATATAAGATTTTATTAGCGTTTTATTCGTACTTGGTAAAATATACATAAACTCAATTATTTTGCGCTAAGAATAATCGCGTTTGGGAATACATTTATAAGTGAATAGCCTTTTTTCACAATTAATAATTGATAAGAAAAGACTGATGAAAATTATTTCTAGTAATTCTGAAACGTCATCAAATGCCAAGCTGTAGTAAGAAATAAAGAATTTTTTCATTATATATATATATAACGTTATTTTTTATTTCGGTATCAAAATAAAATTAATATGTAAGAGAAAACGGCTAGAGTGCTTGCAGTTTGTATCACTTTTGAAAATTTTTCTCTGAAAACTTAAAAAGTTTTTATAATTTATTTATTTTTAGTTTAACTTAAAATAAGTTAATGTTTAAACATGTTAGAATTATTTGAAAAAGTATCAATTAGCTGTCAATATATTTTAGGTTGCATGTACACTACGGGAAGGGGTTGAAATGTGACAGTTCTATATCTCCATGTTAGAACATTAGGAAAAGCCTACTTGAGATATGAGAAGCTATTTACCATTCTATGCGATGCGAGTATTCTAATCAATGCAAGACTGTTAAACTACTTGTCTGAAGATTTAATACTTTCAACACCCTCAATGTTCAAGCAGGATATAAGAAAGGTGGGCGCTACAGTAAAGTGACCACACATCCCGATTTTGGCGGGACAGTTCCGCGTCCCGCCAATTTTTAAAAATGTCCCGCTTTTTAGAAAACATCTCTGCATTTCTTATTTTAAATGTGTAGAGACATTGGGTTAATTGGAAAAACCAGAGAGATGAAAAATTAGGAATCGCCTTTGCCGGGAATCGAACCACAGACTCTGAAATACCGGCTCAGTGTGCTGATCACTACACCACGAAGGCACGCTAGAAAGGCGGGAGAAATACCTTATATGCTTCCCGTTTTAAAGGGCGACTGGGTTTTTAGGGGACCCAATCGCCTTTTAGTTCGG